CAGTAAATAACGGTCAAAGTCGGAGTACGAAACATCGCGCACTTTCGTTGGTCAAATGATGTTGCGTCAACTGAATAAGATACGCTAAAACGAAATAGCTAAACAATAATTCTGCAGGCAATTAATCGTCCAAGTACGCTATAATCAAACAATATTATGAACTGTATATAAAAATATATTTTGTAACATCTAAAATTACAGTAAGTACACAGTAGTACGTTTTGTGTTACTATAGCCTGTGTTCCAGTTGACTACACTGTTACTGACACACAGGCTAGAGAGTTGCATGGTTTTGTCAAGTATTATATATTATCATGAAATCATGGGTAAGCACTTAAGTGCTTAGCATTAATTAGATCGCGATCACCATGCAACCCCGGCCTGTTTGTGCATTCTCAATCTCTCATTATTATAATATGTTACAACAATCAATCGCCATATAATCTTAGTTCTAGCTTGTTCTATAGTTCACCGATTGGCAGAGTTTGACCAATCCTTCCCAGCCGAATATGCTCGAGGAACATTGCCAAGGCCATTGAGGTATTCAGCATTAAGAACAAAATACCGTAAACCTCCGACTGTAAGCCCTGGGCTTATATTTTTCCGTAAGCGATTTTTGATGGGCTTATACAAGGAAGGGCTTATATACGGGGGGGGAGGGCTTACACATGGACGATCTTTTGTTTCGATCTCTTATACATGGACGATCTTGTTTGTAATAGTGACAAACAAGTATAGTAATAGTGATAAACAAGTGTTAAGCATACTAGCATAGTAATAATAGTGATTAATAGTGGTAAGTGGTAATAGTGATAAACAATAAATGGTGATAACTGATAAACAAGTGGGTTTATATTCGGGGGGGGCTTATATTTGGAATGAGGTGAGCGTTACTACATGTGGTGGGCTTATACACGGGGGGGAGCTTATATTCGGGAGGGGCTTATATTCGGGGGGGGGCTTATATTCGGAGGTTTACGGTACGCTGCTAATAAGCATGTAATAGTGCTGATTATAGTACTTCCACTTAATATGGCAACTATACCATATACCCTCTGCAATGAGGGTAAGTGAACTTATCTCTTGTAGAGATCCGGTTGCCAATAGCAGTGTTGAACACGCCTTTATTCTCTCAGTATGCTGGATTTCAAAATCACTCTGCAAACAAAAAATGAGAATATATTCTATATGCATGCAACATTAAGGATCTTACAAGGAAACTTAATATCACTATCAAATATATCCAGATAGCCTATGTATGTGCATGCATGTTGCAACTGTACTGCACAACAACCAGCGCGCCCTACTTGTTTTTTTTTAAAGGGGAAGTCAAGTCCGTTCTGCGCATCGGTTCTGCTCATAACAATGTGAGGACCTCTAATGTGAACATTGCCCAAATTTCGAATTTTTCTGAACATAAACTCTATTTCATACTCATTTAGAAGTATAGCGAACGAAAATGGTGTTAGATATTCAGACAGTACATCATATTTTAAAAAATACAGCAGTTCAAAATGTAAACAAACCGTTTGTTTACATTACGGACTTGACTTCCCCTTTAACTTGTCTAATGCCAGACGATTTTACTCGTCAATAGGGAAGCTCTGCAGCTTAATGGGTTTTTAACCAAAAAATCTGACAATGTCTATAGTTAACCCATTAAGCCGCAATGCACTCCAGCATGCCCTACATTTTTTTCTACTTGTCTAATGCCAGACGATTTTGCTTGTCAATAGAGAAGCTCTGCAGCTTAAAGGGTTAATAAGTTCTGACATCACTAATCAGCTAAATGGCATAAAATATACAAAATTGACTTACATTCACAACTTCGAAAAATAGCTCCCCTGGAATTTGTTTGCTTGCTGCCTTTTCAAAGGCAAATGCTGCAAGAATACTGCGGTTTTCCAACTCTACAAAAATCAAAAGGAGATAAATATTTACACATGCATACATACACACTGCAAAAATGTATTCTCCAAACCTAAATAAAAAGCTTCATGCTGTTCTGCTTAAAACTTTACTGTGAACATTTACAATTCATATATACATGAACTCTAATTAGCTTGATGGACTCTTGGGGCTTGGACTCTCAGGGCTTGAGTGTCTCTCGGCTGTTAAAGAGCTGTTCAGAATCACAGGGCAGAAGGTTCCATTCCCGGCACAGTATGTATATGTTACATATTTATTGTTCAAAATTTCCATTTAATTAAAGAAACGCTTTAACCCATTGAATGGCAGCCTCTCCCCTTCATGAGTAAAATTGTCACATAAAGGGTTAACATTCTGTTCAATGTAGAATATTTACAAGATGTAAAATATGCATGTAGTGTGACTGTTCAATCAAGCATGTCATGCAAGTCCATCAGTTAAATTTTACATGCAATCTTCTAATAAAATGACATTTCCCAATCAATTTCAACATTAAAAGATATCAGTCTGTGATTGTTTTTGTCAGTTACATTTCGAAACTGTTTGCAAAAGTATGATGTTGATTTACTTTATTTGAAAATGTGCTGCTATTACACAACTCAGTCTGGGTGATTTGTTTTGGCGAGCGTAGCCCATGAGCCCATCTAGAGAGGCTCATAAGACATGTAAATAGACATTCGTCCAATTCGTCCAGGGAAAGCAAGCTATAGCCAAATTACCTGGGCTGGCTCGCCTCTATATAAGCAGCCCCTTTCACATGTTTTAGGCTGACCGAAAGGAGAGTTACCATAGGCATAGCAAGCACATGCCATGCATTGGGTAATATTGGGAGATGTCGAGATGGGTTATTGCAATGCTGTCTATATGCCATTAATGTGACTGCATTTCAAACAAGTCACATACCATATAAAAGTATTGTATACATGTCAACGTTATAGCAAATGATATTTTCTGTGCTGATGCAATGTACTCCAGGTGAATATGATGCTTGTGATGTTACACTGAGTGTTTATCCACCCCAAGCAAGCTTGAAAAATGTGCCTGTCCATGGTGGGAATCAAACCTATGACCTTCGGAATACTAGCAAAAAACTGAAAATTTGCTCAGAGAAATTGTTCCCAACATTACATTGGTGTACTGGGATTGGAACATGGTGATGGTAAATCCATTTGGTGTTGATCTTTGGGATGACAATGATTGGTCGTTTGGCGGAAACGGGCATGGTGTTAATTATACAGTAACTAGGCTACTGGTGCATTTAAGGAACCTGAATTTAAAATGGTTCCTGGAGAAGATGGTCCATGGGGTAACCTTGCGGAGTGCGTATGATTTAAGTTTCTTCTGAGTTGTAACTCAGAAGAAACTTAAATCACGGCGCACTCCGCAATTCCGAGCACTTTACATCTTGCCATCCTGTTCAAACTGACACCTGATGACGCGCGGGAATTCCTGGATGTCTTCCTAGGTTGGCACAATAATATTCATGGCAAAGCGTTCGGGTTTGTAAGTACAATGACCGCGCGATTTTCAGCTTGGGCGCCGGAGTTCTTTCCGCATCATGCTTTTGTTGATAAATTATGGGATGACTGGCAAGAACAGGGCTATGATTATCAATTTCTGCCGTTCTTCACGGATCAGACTCAGCATATGTATGGGACATCCTACTTGCCTGTAGATTTCCTCGATATTAAATACCAAGAAGGAAATGTATGTGCTACATATGAAAGATCTAAAGAAGAATGGATACACAAATTGCTCAGAAGTAAGTGCACACGGATTTTAACAGTAAATTGATTTCCGTTTGATAATCTATAGTATATTGTTATTGGTCCGAAGGCATAAACCATATATATATATATATATATATATATATATATATATATATATATATATATATATATATATATATATATATATATATATATATATATATATATATATAGATATAGATAGATATAGATATAGATATAGATAAAGATAAAATAAACCTGGTTTACTTCATAAGATTTATTCACTACAAACTTGTTTCGTATGACAAGCAATGCTTGCCACACTCATCAGGTGATATATATATATATATATATATATATATATATATATATATATATATATATATATATATATATATATATATATATATATATATATATATATATTTATATGCCAGTGAGTTTAAAGAAGCGTGGCATAGTAGAGATAAACTAACATTTAACCGCCGTATTGACATTCCTGTAATATACTTACAACTAAAACATTCACACAAAAGTCCTGTTTCGCCTTCATTAACCTTTAACCCACCCGCAACTTCCTTCTCAATATCAACTCACGATTATTGCAATCACCTGAACTCCATGGCAACCAATAACAATCCATCGGCCGAAATCCGTGTATATATATAAAGAAAAAAACAAATACGAAAACTTCAATGTAAAGTAATAATATGTTTGTGTGATGTTATTCTGAGTGTATATCCACACCAGGCAGGCTTGAAAAATATACCTGGCCACGGCGCGATTCGAACCTACGACCTTTGCAATACTAGCCCAATGCTCTTCCAACTGAGCTACGCGGTCAGGTCGGTTCGAGTATGCGATATTTCGGAACTGAGTCTAGTTCCTTCGATATCAGTGTAATCTAATAATCATGAAATCTGCTGTGTTGGTGTAATGTACTCA